CAGCTCCCTAGGTTATCAGAATAAACATCTCTTTTGACCAGTCCTTTTTTTTAAAAAAAAAGGGTTAAAAAAAAGTGCTGGTACTTACCATGAAGTTGTCAGAGTAAGTGCACGCATTTTAAAACATATGGGCGGGTTACTACGTATCTTTTGAGTACCCGCACGAAAAGCACTGTTCATGAACCACCTTGTAAAATGAGTCTTCATAGGGTGACCATCTCTGTAAATTGGGAAAACCACCAGAGAAAAAGCCCCATCGGCCCGAATTATCACTCAGATCTTGTGGGAGATTTCAGACCATGGGTTTGAAATCTGAATTCGAACATGACCAGGAGTTCTGAAAACTGATCCTAAAACAGTTTGCGCCCCCCCCCCCCACTTCCCTGGGTGTAAAATTTGGCGTAAATTGAGTCTTACAGTCCAATCAGGGAATGGTGAATTTCTTTTTATAGGTGAATTTCTTTTTAATGTATAGTTGCCATATGGATAATTAATCCAGTTTTGCAGAATAACTACACGAATCAGCGCAACAGGAATAATTTCACTTCCAGACTTGCAATGCAGTCAGCCTGTCCTGCAATGGAGGAGATATGCAGATGCCCAGAATTTGTTTGGAGCAGATATCTCAGCAAATATCTTCGTACTCTTTAAACAGGAATATGGTTCTTTTTCTCTCCCCCAGCCCCCATTTGTAATAATAATTGTTATTATTATTTGAATTTATATACCGCCCGATACCTGGAGAATAAAACCAAAATAGAAAACCACAAAATTACATAATCAAAATTAAAACAACAACCCAATAACCCCCAAAAAAACACACATTTTAAAAAAAAGGGCATAGGATCCTCACAACATTTAAATTAAGACAATTAACAAAGCTGGACAAGAATCACTGGCTGGAAAGACCATGATCTCAGAAATGTTTGCCAGCAATATTTATTTATTGGCAACCCAATTGGCCAGGTGCCTTTCTGATACAAAAACAAAAAAAATAGCTTTGAAATAAGAGTGGGGGGGGGAATTTGCCATGTAAGCATATGGCAAGGGGGGGGGGGGAGAGAGAAGCCTTCCAAGCTTCAACAGAGAAGGTGCAAGGTGTGGGAATGTTCTGGGGTGCAGGAGAGGATATATTGACTAATTATATCCTTGTCCAACTTGTGCTAACAAGTTCCCAAAACATCAGCAGAGTTTATAAACATTCCCCTTTAGTACGCAACGGTAACGTGTGCACAGGTTCGCTAGAACCTCTATAATAATTACCCTGGTAATTTCCCCTTTAGTTCCCTCTTAAAATACAAGACACGACACAGTCTTCATAAAAAGTATAAAGAGTTTACTCACGTCCTGTTCACAATGTGATCCCAGAAGGCACAGCTTAAAAAGGTTACATACATTTAGAATCTATCTCATAGGCAAGATAGGCCTTATCTCCTCTCTGGCTGGGAGCCAAGAGGGCATCCTTAGGTGTTTCCACGTCGAAGGAAAATGGTAGAGAGAGAGAGAGATGGCTGCCTGCCCTGTGCTTTTTGTCATCACCTGCACAGGTGAGGCCACACCCACCTCTAGTCACATGTGGAGGAAGTCCGTCCCCAGGAAGTTTACCTGCTTGCTGGACAGACATCCCCACCATGTTCTAACATGTACACTCTAGGAATGTTGTCATTGACTGCTCCTGTGTTTACATCCCACACAAGGTATATCAACACATGCCATATTCTTTACCATGTATCGTTACAGTTCCCAATGGAGCTTGTATGAAATCCTGGCCCCACACAGGCACTTATCCAAGATGCGCCAGCAGCATAATTCGCACCCAATGATGCACATGCAAGACTAGAAGGGGTAAGTGAAGCACTGCCGGTGTGACCAATTGCTCAGATAATTGTGCAGAACTGTTGACAGGCATTCCATTAGCAGCAGATTGCCCCTATTTAACTGGCAGCTGTGGTACGGCCAAGGCTCCTGCTGCTTGCAAGGGCTTACTTTGAATACACAATGCCAATTACATAGGCCCGAACTCTTCAGGGTCTTTTGACAGGTACCCTCGAGATTTCCACAATTAATTTTATTATGCACTTTCTGCCTAAAATGCCCTTGGAAGTAGGGGAAAGTTGTCTAGTATGTGTCTGGGAGGGTGTGTGTGTGTGTGTGTGTGTGTATAAGGAGTCTTTCAATGGGTGGGTGTGCAGAGGGAACAGGGAGACAAGGATGAAATGGAGTTCATTTGGAGACATGAAGTGGCAAAGCACTGCAGAAAGAACTTGAGCTACTCATTAGCTGCATTTAAAATTACAAGAGATCCATGGGCAGAAGTGGAGTCAACCTGATAGTCCTGATATACTCTTGGAACAATTGGAGGAGGGTGGATTTGCATTTAACACTCACAGCAGTAGCTTTAATTATGCCAAGTATCTCACAATCACAAGTGTACCACTGCTGTTCCAGGAGAAGGAGAGACGTCATCTTACAATCAGCCCAAGATAAAGTAAGAAATACCAGTGTATATACACACAACTCCCCTTCGACTCTGATACAGGGACACAAAGTTGTTTGGCAGTTCTTAATCATTCTCTGATCCAACGTGCTTTTTCCTAAAACCTTACTGCTCCATGGTTAAACCCAATGGCCAATTGTCAGCAACTGTGCTATGGTTTCAGGATGCAGCAGTGATCTGGACACTGAACTGGGGACTACGGTGTCATCAACAAAGGAACCCAGACCAGGTTCCAGGTTCTGCAACCTGATCAGGGAACCAATGCCCCAAATCAGGTACCCTATTGAACTTGATGCTAAAGCTCCAGAGTTAGGACCATCATGGGTGACTTCTCCTCGTCCTGAGGAACTAAGTGTCTCCCATTGTACCTTGCTAAATTCAGCAGCACAGGGAACACACCGGGTAGGAAGGACACAGGAGAAGTTCCTGTGTCAAAAAGGGAATACAGCCCAGAAGAGGTGAACTAGAGGCAGAGACCAGAAAGACTTCAGATCACTCCCAAACATGGTTGGAACAAGTCAGTCACTACAAGCTCTCCTTGGAACGGCAACAACTGACCTGCCGTGATGGGCAACACAACAGGATTAACTTCTCAGAAACCAAATAATCTTCTAGAACACCTGAGGGGGGGGGGGCGGGCAGCATTAAATGAACTTCTTAGGCTAGGACAAGAATTAACACTAGCACAAGCAGATTTCCTCCTCTCTCTTTCCCTACCCATCATCCCTGCAC